AGTAGCGTCTTTATGGCTGTTTCTGGGCAGGGTGATAAGAATTTTTTTGCGGCCAGCTCTTTTTTGGACTGTTCCTTTGCTATTTCTGTTACCAGCAGTTAAACACACAGAAGCTTTGAGTGCTTTTTGGATGGTGTCCACTGGCCCTGTAGCGAGCCCTGCCATTTGAAATATTCATGGCTGCTGTTATGGACTTGGCTTGGGCCAGTGCTAGATGGTAGAGCGGGCATGCTAGCTGTTTCTCCAGCCACGGCCACTCCTAGCAGTGATGTCAGTGCTATTTCAGTGAAGGTTACAGCTTTAAAAGCTTTTATACATCATGTTACTTTACAATATTACGTCTTGGATTTTCACTGTTGATGTCATCAGTATTGCAGTATTTAAAACACTGCAGTTATCACCACTGATAACAAAAGCATGCTGTCATTTAATATGAATTATACCTGACAAGTGGAGAAATATGTGGAAATTGCAGATTCTAAACTTTCAATCTAAAACACATTTGTCTGTGTAAATAGAAAAGGAAATATTTTATTATGATTTAAATTTGATGAAATGAGTTGTTTTGCAGAAAAAAAACATCCTTTATATATTTGCCATGTCAGTAGGACAGTTCTTAGCTGACAATCAATGGAAACATAACATTACTTTCACAGAACTATGAATGTACAGTGGGTACCTACAAAATCTAGTATCCTGGTCAACAGAGAATATTTGGCCATCCAATAAATTTCATAATTCTTAGCTGTTCACAATTCATTGTGGATGAAATTATCTTTTGTATGGGTCCAACATTTTGGCTTTTTTTTTCCTTTGGCTGAAAATGGCATATTTTACAATTTTTCTTTGAAAAATTTCGGAGGCTGAACTTCAGAATTCTGTGGGTTTAATATCTTAAAACGATAGTCATACTGTATCGCTGCATTTGCATGACGAAAAAACATTATTGCATACCTTAAAGTGGTACACAACCAACAGTGGAAATGTTGAAAATGGTGGTGGCATCACTGGCGAAAATAGATAATTATCAGAGCTTTAGCAGTGCCGATTGTTTATTAAAGGCTGAAAAAAGGCAGCAGGATGTGCTATACTCTTTAACTAAGAATCCGAGCACCTGTACTTACACAGAGATGTTCCCATGCATGGCTCCCAAAAAAATCAATATCTAGTTTATTCCACCACTGTGGTCGGTGGCAGAAGTTGGGACGATGGAACGTTCCACTGACTGTGTTGTTGCTGATGGTGGTAGAATTTTCCATCGCTGCTCCACTGAATACCAATGGACTGTCGGATTTGCCTTCACAGTGTAAACTCAGCATAAGAACGTTCCTTCAGTGCGCTAACTGTTTGTACATAAATAGTCTCTAGCATATGAATACTGTGATATATGTGTGCAGGGCAGATTGTGTTTTTACAGGAGTAGATAAAAGGCAAAGACACCACACACATACACGCCCTCTGCACTCAGACACAGGGCTCAGGGGAAATCATGTGACTCTGGCCCTAAAGATTAAAGGTCACAGATAGTGACCTTAAAGTGGCAGGCCGGTGACACAGAGCCATCTGTCGCAGCCAGTAGGGATTCAACAGTCATGCATGTGTGTCTGATACATTTTTCCTTCCCACCCGTATGAGGTCTAGCAACAGAATCACTTATCAAATGTAACCGTTCAGAGTGTCATTCATTCAGTATACACTCAGCTCCTTCCATTCACTGCCATTCAAAAAAGGCCCTTATGATGAGATATAGCTTCACAGTCGGGGCAAATGTGCTGGACCAAAGAAATTAGAGAGACAAATACTCATCGTTGACCTTTAGAAGTCCCATTTTTCACAGGCAACAACATATAAAAATAAAAACTTGCATATTTGCATATATAAAATAATATATATTTTATATATTTTATATAAATTTATATAAAATGAATTATTTCTAATGTTCAGCTCATTGAATCAAGTGGGGAAAATATGTGGAAAGTGCAGATTCCAATGTTTTTAAGTAGAAGAGGAAATATTTTATTATGAAGTGAATTTGATGTCTTTTTATGCTGCCAAACTGGGAAGGTGAAGGCTAGCATATGCGTCTTTTGAGGCATGTGAAGCTCCACTACATCTTTCAAACTGCTGCTAACACAACTTCACTGGAAAGCTCAACACACTTCGAGGACAGCGCTAAATGTTACGTCAGCTGACAGACACCCACATTGGCAAGCATTCTGCTAAGTGATGAGGGGAAAGGGAGGACGACTCTGCCTACCGAGAGAGAGAGGACAGTTACGCTTTCTTGGACATACAGCCATTTATATGGTGGCAGCACTCAGGGGCTTGTTTTTGTCTTTTTTTTGACATTGAAAGAAAACATGGGAGTGTGACAGTAGATTGTGACATTGTGATATCATGGTGCAAAATCGTGTGCATCGTGAACAGTAGGCATTCTGTTTGTTATCTAAAGTAACTGCAGTGTTTAGAGCTAGAGTTTGCAAACAACCAGCACCAGTCAATAACCTATACCTCATATGCTACACTGCCTTGTGCTTCCCAGCATAACTTTCATTAGTAAGTTGTACAGCAACATGGATACAGTCATCATTTTGCTTCATTTAAATGTTGTTCAGAAAATCAGATAATATGTGGAGTGTATCAGAAGTGCAGATAAAATAAAAATGTGAATCATTATGTAACAGACTATGTGTTTATGAAGATAATTGTGCAGTTATGATTAAACAATTAGGGAATGCCAGTTAAACTTTTAGCAAATCAGCAATGTTAACTCTAGACCGCTAAGGGTTAATACTGAATTCCTCAGCAAACTGATCAATGAATAGTGACAGATTATGAAAAGCTCATACAGAGGAACAGAAATGACTGGAGATGTGATGATACGTGAGGTGTTAGAGCCTCCCTGTGTGTGTGTGTGTGTGTGTGTGTGCGTGCGTGTGCGCGTGCATGTGAATGTGAGATAGAAAGAATGTTCACAGTTAAGTACGACCCCAACCCCCCCGTCAGTCAGTCAGAAGGGTCTTTGTTGTTGTGCTGCTGGGCTCTGCATGCAGAATTGGAGATTCCCTCTCGTCACACAGCGACTTTTGGAGAGCCGATAGGGAAGCACTGTAGCCTAGCAACCAAATGCGCTGTAGCCAAACGCAGCCAGCTGAGGAAAAACTACTGCAGCAGCCAAGCAGTCCAAGCACACTGCAGAGACTGATGAAACCTACAGCCACTCTGCATCCACACTGAGGAACCGTGCTAGCTCCTAAAGCAGTAGTTTAACGACGTGTTTAGTGTCTGAACTTCTTTAGTTTTATTACTGCATTTATGAGGCTAATGTAGCTAGCAAGAAATGGAAACTTGTACCCCACCAATTAGCATGGTGCTAACTGCATGTCTTAATCATGAAACACTTGCCTCAAACTGTGTTGTTAAGTAATCTCTAATAGGCTTGATTATCTTACATCTACTGAACCTTTGCTTTAATCCTAATCCTAATGTCTAATGAATAATCTGTAATTTTTTTTACTTTTCACATGAAAAAGTTTATGTTTATGCTGTATGTTTTTAGAAACGTGGTGTTATTATTTAAATTCAAATAGGAACATGTACCAATACGGGACTTGTGGACTGATGCTGTTATTTTTATGCCCATGCTGATACATAAACTTTCATAGAATGTAGAAATTGAGCCTAAATCTGCCTGGATTAACATTATGAATAATAGCACCATTATTAGAGAAATAAACTAGTTATTTAATTAAACTAGTTATTTAACTAGATAATTATCCAAAAAATCCAAAATTGTTACAAATGGATGTACAGCATTTGGAATGAAGCTCATTTATTTCTGTATGTTTACAAATGCAGTGAAATGAATAAAATGCAGATAATTTAGCACAGTAGCCCAACATCTTCTAAACTTCTCTTCCAGAATACAATAAACATATTAGCAAATGTCGGTTTGAAATATTGAACATCTGTCCTGTGTCCATAATCTCTGAAGCAATTACCTACTGATACCAGTATGATTCCAATATCATCATGCATGCCTACTTTGTCACATTAACCACCAGGGTGTTAAGAATGTGCTAACAGTTAAATCATTTACTAATTGGAAATTTGGTGCTAAAAAGGGTAGTTAGTAAAATTTAGCACATACAAACAGTTACAAAACCTTAGAAACATTAAAGTAGTTAGCATAGTATTCAGCGTAATGAAAAATTTGTGAGGAAAAATTTAATTAAGGTAAAAATTCAGTAGCCATGTTTACATGGAGCCTGATAATCTGTTAATACTTCGACTAACATCTTATTCGTAATAGGATACATCCATGTATACGAAGTTTAAGCTTTGAACTTTAGAAGATGGCAGTGGGACTGGCGTCCAGTTTATGTGTCTCGGAACATGACGTCATCCCCTCGCCTTTCTTTAAAAGGTAACATGTCTTAAAGTTATTAAAAAACACGAACACGCCAGCTGAAAACTACAGCTGAAAATCCACTGCTGCTCGTCTCACCCTGACTGGACGTGATGCCCGCTGTCATGGTAACATCTACACTAAGTGGTACTCTACGCACGTACGTAATTTTAGATCGGATTACGTGTAGTGTGCATGTAAATGGAGATTTTCCATCAGATTGTTGAGTTGAGTGCATATAAACACCTCATTTTTATTTGGAATGCATTTATTCAGATTGGCAAAATTCTTTGCATGCAAACGCAGCCAGTGTAGTAAAATTTAGTAAAAATTCAGTGTAGTCAAAATTCAGTAAGATAAAAATTGAGCATAGTGAAACTTTAGTAAGCTAAAAATACAGTAAACATTTCTGATCTGCATCTCTTTAGAATTGTGATGCTTTAATACAGTGAAGCAGCCAGAGAAACTCAGGAGTGGACTGTACTGTAGAGGGGTGTCACTCTGAGCCTATGGAAGTCAGACAGAGAGAAAGAGTGACACTGAGGACTATTGAAGCTGGACACACTCTGATGCTTATTCTCGTCTGTTTCAGAGTGGACTTGAGGTCTGTGTGTGAACCTGTCTGCTTCCTCACACACTGCAGCACTGAGATGTCCAACACTGCAGCAATTTCCACTTCTGGTCAGCTCTGTCCAGAAAAGTGTCAGGGCCAAACACCCCTTTGAATCTAGAACTGGCCAGAAATTTTGGTGCAAACTCAAATACAGCCCAAGAACTTCCTGTCTGACTCGGACCCAATCCAAACCACATAATCAAGTTTTGAGACCGAAACTGACCTGAGCTCAGCTAAATTCTGACCCGAATCAGCTCATTATCAACCATTCACCATCAACCATACTCTGGCAAACACTTACACTTACCGCGAAACACCTTCATTCTCCACCAAACACCAACATTCCTTACCAAACACCAACATTATCTGCCAACATTCGCCACCAAACACCATTTTCCACCATACATGAACATTTTCCACACCAGCATTCCCTGCCAATCACCAGCATTCCCCACCAAACACCAACATTCTCTGCTTATTATCATACATCATATCATAATTTTCAGCCAGGCATCATCATTCTCCACCAAGCATCTTTATTATCCACACCACCATATTATTCAACAAACATCATGATTCTTCTATTGAGCGGTGCCATTATAACGTTTACGCACACGATCACACACAAGACAAGGTTTGTTGGTGTTTGTTTCTTAGTTTGTTTCTTTGTTTGTGTGTAGAGACACAAATCCTGGTCCATTCAGGGGCATGTTTACCTGTGCGATTTAGGACAGGGTCAGTGTCCAGCAGAGCTTTATCCCATTCATGTTCCTGCCTCTGTAGTTACAACTGTTTGGCATAAAAAAGGCCTTCTACCTAACGACTCGGAAACGGCACCTTTCATGCCTTCATATCAAAGGCAATCACGTCTATAATTGTTTTGATAGGATTTTAAAAAGCGTTCCCTCTTTAATTCATCCCTGTTCCTCTCTTGGTGTGCTGGGGGTGGGGGGTGGGGGGATGGCTCGTAGGGACTAAGTGCATAATTGCATGTTTAAGTGTTTCTGCTTAATGGGCTCGTTTTCAGATTGTCAAGGGTGTTCTGGCTTGAGTGCCATCAGAGGAGGCCCTCTTACCTGCACGTACGTGCTCTTACACAATGGATTTTGTGCACGGTGTTGAGGTTCAGGGACTTTTCAGTACCAGCAAAACTACACATTTATGCTAAACGTTATGGAATATGTGCTTAGCAGGTAGCGCACCCTGCAATTTTCTTCCACGGGTACCATTATCAAGGGGTGTGACCCCAACGTGAGGTCGCGGCAAACTGTGTGAATAGGGGTGATGTGGCACTGTGAACCCTGCAGGCTTCGTGTGGAGTTGCTATGGCGACCACTGAGTCTGTCTGGTACTCCTCCTTTCCCGATAATAATTAGCATTAAGTAAAGTGCTTCACGGACTTCATGGATATCTAGCATGGGCCAGTTAGCAGCTGGTCATGGTCATATGTATATATTAAAAAAGCTTAGGCTACATATAGGCTATAATATAGGTTACAATAGCTACAGATAACTGTTAAACCTTTGAATATGTCCCCAGGAGGTAGGTCTTTTAAACCTACCTATTTGCTTGATCTAGACACCTGGCCTCTTTTCTTCGCTGCAAGTTCATTAATGCTTGGAACCGTTTTCTGAGTCGCTGAGCTAAGTGTTTATATTAGTTGGACTACAGATGAAATACAGCTAATGTGTTTGGTGATATAACTGGTGTGTGTATATATTTAAACAAAAAGCTACATTACACTACATTGCGCACAATCCCCAGTGCATGCTGGAGATTGTAGTGCAGCACATTGTGAAATAGGCTAATAGGAAAATTAAAATAATTTCATGGGCTAGATAGGATTGTGCCACGAGCCTTGTGTTTGACAAAGAGGTTCTGCCATTTTCTAAATCCTAACATCTCACTCAGTTGTCAAGACCAAAGACTTGACAACTAAACGCAATGTGAATAAATGACACGAAAATGCTAAATATATGGACACAATTTTTTTTGCATCAAAACATTGTTTACACTGGGAAAAAAAATGAACAGACAGGTTGTCTTCAAGTGCAGAAAGATATCCTTTGCTCCTCACAAAATGGGTGAACAGTGATATTGGGTAGGCTACTTTCAATTGTTACTCACTCAGAAGCTGAAACTTTATGAGCGCTTTCACTCACATCTCTCATTTTCATAACTCAGTTTGAGCTGATTGTGAAAACACAGCACCACACGTGATGAAGCAGAAAACAATTTCATTTTTCTGATGTTTGTCAAAAAGTTCTTGTTGCTGGGACACAGCCAATGGGGGCAGTCGTGGGCTGGACGTTAGGGAACCAGCCTTGTGACCGGAAGGTTGCTGACAGTACGTGACTGAAGTGCCCTTGAGCAAGGCACCTAACCCCCAACTGCTCCTTGGGCGCTGTGGATAGGGCTGTCCACCGCTCCGGACAAGTGTGCTCACTGCCCCTAGTGTGTGTGCTTTCACTAGTGTGTATGTTTCACTGCAAAGATGGGTTAAATGCAGAGTTGAATTTCCCCGTTGTGGGATTAATAAAGGATAACTTTAACTGAACTTAATTCATCAAGCTTGGCTGTTGTTATGCCAAAGTCAGAGAAACAGTGATTAGTGGATTGAGTTCATGCCACCTGCAAAAGTTCTCAAAAATCAAACACAGGGCCAATAATGTTGCCTGTTGTGAAAGATATTATCCATTATATATGTGCTTAAATTAATTTCATTGCAGAATTTGATTCTGGCATAATAACCCAATACATACATATACAAACTATGTGTTGATAAAAAAACAAGCATATCCAACATCCAGCAGTTCATTAGTCTTCAGGACAGCTCTCTTGAGGTAACTTTGAACAGAGCATTAGCAGCTGTCTGACAACCAATTAGCCCATCACAGCTCACCCAGAGAGCGGATCATTGGTGATATGTACCTTTGGTTAGCCTCAAAGGCTCTCAGATGACATTGTTGTCAGGAGGATTAGCCAGGCGTAGGTGATCAAAGCAACAGCCCAAACCCAAATAAAGTGTCAGTCAGGTGTACAATGTTGACATTTGAACATAAAGTTGTTTTCCTCTGTTGATCAAATCGCCAGTAGCTGTCTAGCTTCATTCAGCAGGTTGCATAACAAAAATCAAACAGAAAAAAATATATAAATGTGTCCTTAACAGGACAAGTATTTGTGCACTTGGAGTCTGGGAGAGCACCAATTGAGGGCAACGAATATTTGGACTAACAACCTGTTGATTGGCCTTGTCCGTGGCTTTGAAAGGCAGGATTATGAATTTAGTTATTTTTCACATTTCAGTCTATTGTTGTTCAGATTCAATGATCTGATTTTCATTAGCTGTATGTAATCTGAGGCCACTGTCTGTAGGAGGAATTCAGACAGCTTTATGCATAAAATGTATGCATGATCTAGACCATAAGCAGCACGATTGCTTAAAATTTAACATCAGTTCTGTATGTACATTGATTTTACAGGTGCCCCAGGTTTAGGGATTATTGTCTACTACCACACTGACCGTCTTTTACACTGTACAACATCCTCCGTCAGTCAGCCAATACAGCATGCATTTTCATGCAGCAGAATCAGAGGGATGATGTATTTATGGAATATACAATCAGGATAGATCATACACATTGGTAGGTTAGTGAACAGCCCACACTGTAAAAATAGGTTGGGTCAAGTTCTGCACTGTATGTACAGAGTCACTATAAAAGCAGACGTTTTTCTCATGGAGCGTGGCTGGGAGGCAGTGAATGTTGTAAATATTAAAACGACTAACTGGCTGGATGTGTGAGTGGAGGAAGTGTGAGTATTAGCATCATAATGTTATAACATGCCCTGTGGGTGAACTCACCTTGTGTGCTTGAATGTGGAAGAGTGTAGTGTACAGTACAACATTTTTACCCCAGACCTTTCCATTCATACATCCTCGATCAGTCTAAACTAGTCTAACATGCAAATATAAATCACTAAATTAACCTAAAACGCAAAGATAAATCACTAAATCAGACTAAAACACAGATAAATCATTAAATCAGCCCATCCAACAGGTACAGATCACATCTAATGGGAGCTGCATGCAATAAGCAATAACAATAGAAGTTATTTTCTTGTTGGGATATTCATATACTCTGTTTAGTAACGTTGTTCTGATAATTTGCTAGTTGAATAACAAGAGTATTTGCCCTCCCTAGTCTGACTAAATAAATAAAATAACTGTAAATAATTGCAGTTATCATTTTATCACTTGTTCAGGTGGCCAATTAACAATCATAACGAAATGTGTAAGAGTGAGTTAAGAGTGTACGTGTCTTTCAGTAAAATGTTTGAAGTATTTATTTGGGAGGGAATTCTACAGTATACATGCTATATAAAGCAAATTCAGAAGGTAAAAACATTATATAGCAGGAAACGTTTACATAACATGGGAAACATCCAAACCCATCCCAGTTTATCAGCTCAAGCCTGTCCAGGTGTTTCTTATACATCAGATTTGCTGTTCTCTTTTTTCTTTCCTCTCTCTCTCTCTCTCTCCTCCTCTCCTCCATGTTTTAAATTTAGTTCCCTTCAGCACTGCTGCGGAGTTTATGCGTCCTGTGGGACTCGTCTAAATGATAATGTCTTTTTCGTGCTGTCAGGCTGATGGGTGTCCGCGTTCGGGGCCGATTCAGCTCAGGCAGCAGGCCGAGATTAGTGCTGGATTATTCTGGAATTATCGTCCAAGGCGTCGGGATTAGGCTTGTGATAGAGCTTCTGGCCAGCACATATTTTGAAGAAAAAAAAAAACAGATGAGCTTAAATCAGCTAAAACCATTATCATAATAACACAACGTTAATCAGCTTTTTAGAAAGCTAATTAGTTCTAATAAGGATTAGATTTCAACATCAATTAAACAATGTGGGTATTTTAGGCATGGTTCAAAATGCTAATTTCATTCGCAGAAATGGCTTGTCTTTGCATAACATGATTGACAGTGGATGGGTGAGCGGTGGATTGAGTCTTATCATCGACTGACCTGCAGATTGTAGATTAGCTGAGGTTCATCAATTAAAAAGTCATATCGACTTGGGGAAAGGCTAAATCCTTCGTTTAATTAGCAAAAAAATTACAAATGGAAAATATGTACGAACGTCCTGCTCATAATAATGAAAAAAATATCTTCTTATCATTCTGGCAGGAGTTAGCGCAGTATTTCACATTCAGAAGGGCCAATCTTCATTTCTTCTCCAAATGAAAATCTATTTACATACTCCAGAGTAATTAATTTTTTTCTGGTTGTTCTCCTCATGTTTTTCTCCCCCTCTCTGTGCTGGAACAGGGCTGTTGTGGTAAATGAGTTTGCTTTTAAGCTGCAGTTGTGGAGCTGAGTGAGGGGAATGCTAATAGGAGGAACTGCAGATTCGCTCCATCAATCAGCCATTACAGCATGCATTAAAATACACATTAAAATCAGGCATTAAACCAGCACACCCCGCTGGGTCCTACACACACACCGCACTGTATACTCAGTTGTGCATATACTGTCAGCATACACAGACACACACACACACAACATACAGAAATACTCTTGTGCAATGTGGCTCAGTAATAACACCACTGTTCAAAGTTTATAAGCAGCACTCAGAAGTTTAAAACCACTGCTGAAAAGTTTATAATCACCATTCAAAAGATAAAAATCCCCAATTTACCATACCGTACAGAATCAAAGTTCAGAATCACTGCTCAGAAGTTTATAATCATGTTTCAGAAGTTTAAAACCACCATTTAAGACTCTAAAAGCACCAATTAATAGTTAAAAATCACCTTTCAAATGTTTAAAATCACTGTTACCTTTTGGTTTCTGTTTCATAATGTTTAAAATATGCCCTGTTTTATTGATTAAAATAATGAATAATATACTTTTACGTCTCATTTTTTCTCAATCCTTTGGTTCGTGAAAGGTGCTATAAGGCAGAATGCTAGAACTAATAGAGTTCTGAAGCCAGAGGCAGTTTAGGGGCGGCGGGGGGTGCAAACAATCCTGTTCTCTGATGTAAGAAATGAAGAATGGAAGGATAAAGTCTAATCAGGCAGAGAGACAGAGAGAGAGGAAAAGAAGAAGGCTGTAAGGGATGGTCGCTCATCCACTCTGTTGGGTGATTCACCTCCATTTGACCTGTTCACATGACTGAAATAAAGCGTGAACAGCAGTCAGATAACCATGTACCACACCAGTGGAGAGGTACAAAGAGAGGGAGGGAGAAAGAAAAAGAGAGAGTGGCCTAAGAGTTAAAATACGTTTTAAAACCTAGATCAAACCTTTGTGTCATAAAGTTCTATTTCTCAAACATACTTTACATTAGTGTTATTTTTAAAGAACAGTGACATGATTAGACATGTTTGGTGTCTGAAATTTGCTTCTTTAATTTTGCACTGGAGCAGTGAAGTTGCTGGAAGCTTATGCTCCACCAGTTAGCGTGCCGCTATCTGCATGCCTATATCATCACACGCTTGCCTCAAACTGTGTGCAGTTGTTCAGTAATCTACTTAATAGACTTGATTATGTGGTGACACTGTATATTGCGCTGTTATCTATAAACATGGACAAACGTAGCAACAAATCTCAGGCTTCATGCTGGCTGCTGCTGAGTGTAGCTCTGTGAGGTACTCTGAGGTGTGTAGAGTTTCCTAAACCCATCCTCCAATAAAAAAAAAAACGTTACTGTCAGTGAAAAAATAAATGCAATTAAGGTAAAAAAATTTCTAAAAACAACTAGAATAGATGCTTAAAGGTAGCAACTCAAAAAAACGACTTAAGTACCGAGTAACTTATAGCACTGCAGTGGAACCTCTTTTAACATCCAGCATCTAAGTTTGCACAGCTCAGTTCTTCTCTTTGGTGTAAAATCAAATGCCAAAGCTCGAAAGTGAGAGGAGTGATCGGCAGTAAAGCAGTCCGGGGCTGAAACAACACAGAAGAATAAAATTAAACTAAAACAAAAAAGAGACAATTAGGAACTAAATGTTAATGAAAGTAGAAATAAAAGTATTATCATTTGAAAACACTCAGGACCGTACAAATCATCAAAAATGTATTTTTACAGATGTTTACAAATGTTTACTGCTATTAATGTTTATTGGGTTGTATATGATTCACACACCTCACTAAAGCTATATGTTAATTGAAAGTGTCATTCATCATCAGGGAGGATAAAATTAAATTTTTAATAAAAATTCCCTCTAGAGTCTGTCCCCTGCTGTCTTCATCTTCATCACTAGTGCACAGATTTTTTACTTACTTCTCAAACTCTCTGCTGCAGAGAGATTTAATTAGCTGGCTCCAGCGAGAGA